TAGTCATCCATCAGTGGAAGGAGTCAGGTTTTATGTCATTTGAGTAGTTAAAAACATGGCGAAACTTGAAAAAGACTAACTCACATTGATGGACTAGCAATAGTAACTAAATGTTTGATCACAAATACTTACATTTCCAATCCAACTTTAGCATAATTGTAAATTTGTGGTAGTGTGAATGTGATTGTCTCATTACAAATGTAATTATCATATTTTCTTAACTTCAGACTTGAATATGAAGAAAGGAACAAGAAGAAGGAAGCAAAAGAAATGCGTGTAATTGAAGCGATGGAACGGCGCCGATCAGAGAACGCAGAGTCCTAAATTTGTGTATCAAAAACAGTAATTTAGTGAAAACAGTATTTTAATAAATCTTGGAAATTTGTACAGATTGACTGGCAATTTGGTATGTGTAGATGTTTTTGCCATCAACAAATCTGGAGTCTTAATTTATGATGTGAGTCTTTTCACTACTATTTTTTTCATTCAACCATGGTATTACGTTACCAAATTTGCTGACGTAATTTAAATTAAATTTTTTTTCAACATATCACGATGACCATTTTTTTCAGATTTCTTGGAATGTCTAAACTCCACTGATAAAAGTTAAAATATAGTTATGAAAGAGCTACATTATTAATAACAGAACTATTCAAATAGTGGTATCATCAGGATACGATGCATGGATGATATTCATCCAAGTTATTATAAGATTGTTTTAAAAATGTGTGTAATAGTAAATTTTTACTTAATTATTTGTACAGATTTTAGTGGCTACTTTTATTGGTAATCCTGTGATTCTAGATTCATATAAATACATTTCTGCATGTAATAAATCTCTACACATTGGGAATTATTTTCAGTGCAGTTTCCTTTCATTTGTGATGTAAGAATGAATTTTTGCATGTATTGATGAATACAATATGAAATATTGTATTTTAGAAAAATATCGTATAAAGATTAAAATGTTCATGTGGTATAATAATTTGGGTTTTATTTTAGTATGAAGGATTGTTGCAAGTGTATGAACTGTGTATTTTGTGATCTCTGAAACTGTTGGACTGTTTGTTGTTTATGTCAGCAATACTATTTGTTAGTAATTTTTTTATTGATTAAAAATTAAATATTGGGTTATATAATCAATCTGATTAAAATAAGATCCTAGTTTTGGCTTTTTTTTGTATATTTATTATATTTTGATCTAGTATGTATTTTTTGATAAAATAAAAATAAGTTTATAGCCAAAATAATTAAAGCCCTTACACTACATGCTATTTTAATCAGATTGGTTATATAATATGGTGTTGACCTTAGACCCAAGAATTAGACCCAATGTGAAATATTGTCAGAAAGAGTTGGAACATTCTCAACTAAAATCCACTGTCCAAACTGCTCAGCCCACTGAGATGTTGCAAACAGACTATGTACCAATCAGTATTTTTTCCAGTCCTCAAGTGGACATTGTCTAGAAATGAAAAAAAAACTACCTGTGAAGG